AAATAAACACATGATATAATTTATGATAATTTTTTTCAACTAATCACTCATTACTTTCAATTATTTTGAATTTGAAAAACTTTTTCTTTTTGAAGTTTTTTAAATCTTGAACTTGCATATCCTTTTATTGTAATATATTTTTTTTAAATGTTAATACTTTTGTTAAACATAAAACATAAAAAATAAATATTGACTCTTAAGAGGTGTAGCTCAATAATTTTAATGAAAATTAAGTTTTATTAATATGTTTTTGTATATTGTGATATATAGTTACTTACATCTTATTTTAAATAAATAGCTTATAATCTACACATAAGCGTTTAAAGTTTAAAGGAGGATTTACAAGACAGGACACTGTTAATCTCTTTACTCATATAATAATCATCGATGTGTGCCTTTAAATTTTAAACAAAGGTAGCAAACTGTTATATGTTTGCGTAATATTGAATAACGCATAGGCGATTACAAAAAAAATACTGTACATTAAAAACTTAAATTATTTTTAGAAGTATGTATAATAAAAGTACTTATATAAGTACAATATTTTCATTTGTATATTGTTTTCATAATTAAGCTAAATTAAAAATATTAATACTATTTTTATATACTATAAAAAATGATTGTCTGTAGTATTTCGATGTACTAGTCTTGATATAAATACAAAAAAATATTCGTTTTAATTTGTATATTGTAAAGTATTATTATTATTTATTATATAAGTGTCTAACAACTGACAACAGCAAATTATATTTGTTTATTAATTACTTACTTTACTTAGTACTTACATATTATGAAAAAAATTGTAATATTAAAACATAATACTATAAGATATATCTATGACCTACGTACAAAATAACTAATACAGAGTTAGGTAATACGCATACCGAAACAAAATTTCCTTTAAGTTTACTATTTGAATCGATAAGCACAATTATTTCTATGTGCCTTTGAACCCCTGTAAATGATCCGTTCACCATTTCATTCCACCGTAAACTGTAGTAGCCTTTCTATAAACTGCTTGGCTCGCATTCGTATACGCCCAAGTTTAGGTCTACAAAGGCGGAACAACAATCACCTGGTCCAAAATTTGTGTTAATTAACTGAACGGTTTACGATTTTCTTGATCACAAATGTTTACGACATGTCTCCATGTTTGGTGGGAGGATCCAATCACGTATATCGGTCACAAGGATAATAATATATCTTTGTCTATAAATGTGTGTACAAGTGATATAGACAAACGGCAATATACAAGACTTATGCTAATGAATATTTTTATATAAATATTAAATACAAATTAAAAAAAAAAAATTTCTATGCAGTAGAATAAATATTACTGTAAAATCCATTTTTTTTTTTTTTTTTTTAGTTTATTTTAAACGCGGTTTGAAATATGTAACAATGAATTCAATTTTGAAACTTTTATTTTACAATGTTTGTTTTTTTAATTTTGCATGTGATTTTTTTTTTTTTTAGATATTTTAGTGGAATTTAAAATACTGTTAATTATCTTATTATATAATTTATTACTTAGTGAAATTTAAGCATGTATTTTCAAAGGTAATTTTAAAATAATTTAAAACAGCATATTATAGAATATGTATTTTTAACAGATTTAATTTTTTTTTTTATTTTAAAATGAATCATACCTTAGTCTTTTAAATACTAGCTTATGACAGATTAGTTAAGTGATATAACCAGTACGCTCAAATGCATTTGGTCCAAAATATCTTTTTTTACTAATTTAACCAGTTTTAAAAGCACTACAAGTTAAGACAATAAAATACTCCAAAAATTACTATCATAATGCACATCTGTTTATTTTTATACTTTGTTTCTACTAAAAACTTTATTACTAACTTAAAACCACGTACACCTGGAAAATGTTTTAAAGAATTTGGAGTTTTTGTGTAAAAGTTCTAAAATATTATAAGGTCCTACTGAGAACATTGGAATGTATCCTAACCCAAATTATAATTTTATTATATTAACCTTTCTTAAATAAAATGACTGGGATTTAAAATTATGATTTTTAATTATATAAGATAATTTTGGAATTTCAAATACGAAAATAATATAATTTCTGAAATACATTTTAAGATAAAATTTATTAAGTAAATAATTGGACTAATACTACAAAATTATAAATTTAAAAATATTGATTTATAACTTACAAAGCTAAGTAATGAGAAAATGTCTTTGTGGAATAGCACAAAGTATGATCGTGAGAAAATATAAATATAAATTACATAATAGTTTTCATAACTCGACTTTCTATATATAATTTCTACTTTATTATAAAAGATCAAAATAAACTACGAATTTAATAACTATACTTATTATTTGTATATATGTAACCATCTTAGAGTTTTATTATCATAAAGATTGTAGTTTATTATCATTTGATTTTTAAGATGGTTACACTCTTACAATCATATTAATAATTTAAAATATTTATATCGCCCTATAATTGAACATGGTGTACTTAGGTTTTAATGTCATATATTATTATCTTGTTAAATGATGTATGATATTTTACTATCTCTGTTAAATTGATTAAATTATAAATAACATGAAAATAAAAGCTTTTTTTTAAAATGTCGTTGACAATTTGTTTTTAAACAATTGTATTTTTTTTAAATTACACAAAGAATTTATTGAGTATTAATAACTCTAAAATTTCTAAGGTAGGAATATTAAAAATTATATTAAGTGTTATATTCTATGGATCTATTTCCTATATTTTATTTTTAATGAGTTTTAATTTTTAAATAAGGAAAGAAATTGTTTATCATCTAAAATAATTTTACATAATTTTATCATATACTGTTAAATCTATCGATAGACAAAATTATTGTAGTAATCGACATTTGGTTCTCACTGCCATTCTCTCCATTATTTTATTTTACTGTATTTCAACAAATGGTTATACTTTTTATATTTACATTGTTAAAATTATTGTTATTTGTACATTTTGACGAGTGTTTAGGATAATTTCTGTAAAATTTAAAGTGAAAAGTTTTCATTTATTTAAAAACTCTGTCGTGTTCATCTTAATGACTTATCTTTTCATTTTATATAGAAATGAAGGAAAAATAATGCTGAAAAAATACGATAAGCCGTTGGAACATTTTTTCGTTTAAATACAATAAAATAAAATATAATAATATTCAATTTATCATAAAAATTAGACAAACTAATTTTTACTTTCAACAACTGTCAAAATACTTATCCATTCTAATACCAACATAAGTTTCCTTCCTATATAACTCAATATAATATTCTTGGTTGGGATTTCCTTTTACGACTTTTCATGTTGTATTTATAAGTTCAATCAAAAAAGTTATCACGCCAATACCATTTTGAATCTACATAAAAAATAAACAAACTAAAACCAAATTAAGCAATTGTTTTTTAAACAAAACATTTTCTATTTTATTTATTTTCATTTTTTGTTTATAACTACAAAAAAATTATACTTTCATATCATTGATTAAAATACTAATCAAATTAGATTAAATATGTAAATAAATATAAACAAAATGGTGAGTATATATATATATATATATTGTATCTACATTATTGTTTTTATAAGAAATAATAATATTCATAGTTCATTCTATACCACTTCATAGAGGTCCTAACTTACTTTATTAAACAATTTTTCAATATACAAATTCAGATAAAAATTATGAAAAATGTTACATTATATTTTAATACTTTAATATGTGAAAAAATATCATAATTAACTGAAGCCTGATTTCTTAAACTATTTATTTTAAATACAGTAGTTATAATTACGTATATATTGTATACAGAATATAAGTATGATGAACAAAAGTGCATGTAAAATATATAGTATTTTGTATATGTTACTGGTAATTTAATTAATTTATATTTTATTCAAATTAGCGTAATAATATTTACGAAAGATAAAAAATAAATTTTGAATCTATATAAATAGTACAATATAATCGTAACATAGTAAACAAAACCAAACAAATACCTACCCATAAACATTTGAATACGGTCCACGTACTTTACATATCAGTTTCCGGTGACTATATAAAACGGTATCCTACCCAATATAAGGAAAATACACGTTTTTTATTACACAGTTAGCTTCAATGGGTTTACTAAACTTTTGTAGCTTATTAAGGGCTAAATATATTATTTCATATCTGTTTAATTTATATTCAAATCCAACATCTAATATTTTGACAGGAAGGAAAACTCGTGTTAGTAATGAAAAAAAAAAATACAAGTTTTTATATTCAAAATTTGATTATGTCTTCGATAATCCTTTCTAAATTGAATTGGTAAACAAAATGTAATTGGATTTTCAGCGTAATCAAATAAATTGATTTTGACAAAAATAAGTATTTGGTTTGAAACCTTTTTTTGTATCAATTATAAATAGCAATACAAATTTAAAAAAAAAACAAAAACAATTAAATAATATAACATAGTGTTCTGATTAAAAATAATAATTTAAATTAAATTAAAAATAAAATCTAATTAGTATTTAAAACAACATAAATTGTGATTTATTTTATTAATTTTAAACGTAGCTTCCTACTTATATATGGGTATTAATTTTTATTTACAAAAACAATTAAATATTTTTAAACAATTACATTATAAGAATATAAATATAAAGATTTGTGCATAAATAATAAAAATATATCCCACGAATCTGTGTAATACATTTTATATGCAAAGATTTAAAAATATATATATTATATATGCAATAAAAAATTATTCATTGTCATAATTTAAATATTAAATGATAAACATATATGTGTATATGTATACATATATATGAATCATTTACTAATTATACAATAATGAATATATTTGAATCCAAATTATCTGGATAATATGAAATGCAAAGTAAAGTTAACATTATAAAGAGGTTTATTTTTAGAACTACATTTTTTTTTTTTTAAATATACAATCTATACGGTTCTTTAAAAAATATATATATATTTAATACTCACGTTAGATATTTTACTCAATGTTTGATTTACAGGAGTTAACAAGTATCTGTAATGATAAAATACAATTTCTAAGTTATTAAAAAAAATTACATTTATAGAAAGGCTAAATTTCAAACAATTTATTTACGGATTAATTTATTTGGACCTTTAATTCGTTCTAAATTCCATTTAAAAAGAAAATGAAAATTACACACCTATTCCAAAATTAGATTTCTATTACGCTATAAAACGTTGGTCTTATGTAAAGCTTTAAATTTTAAAACCATTAAGTATTTTCATTCAATATGTTTACTTCAAATAAGAAATGAAGTTAATGAAATATTACTAATAAGACTCACATCATAAAGAATTTTATCAGTAAATTAAATAAGCTTGCTTCTTTCACTTTAAAGACTCATAAATGGTTTAGCAATCACACAAATGATCTTATAAATAGTTTCACATCAAGATAAATTCTAACAATTCTCCAACCTGCTTTGAAATAAACGGTGTACTTCCTAATCATTTTCTAAAATTTACCTTAAGTGTGTCTCTAGTGGTGAATTTATTATTTCTTTATAAGAAAAATTTTTTTTAATTATTCCACATTTTTTTTATTTTACTATTTTCACAGTATAATATACGTAATGTAAATTTGCTGTTATTAGTAAAAAAAAAAAACATTATAAAAATAAAAATAAATTACTGTTGTAGTAAGAAAATATAAACAATAGTTTTAATTTATATAAAAACAAATCGAAATTTTAACACGCGTATTAAAAATGATTTCGTGTTATTTTTTTTTTCTTGTTTTTATAAAATAATAAAATATACAAGCAATGCAAAACTATTGTTATTTTAATCAATTTATATGATGTGAAATATCTATGATAAATAAAAAAGGATTTATAATAAAATTTATCATACAATTTACACAAACTTAAAAGTTACTCTCATTTTGCGTATTAATAACTGTAACACATGGAGATAGAATGAAACCCAAGAAACTTTATGTCACTTACCCTATTGAACTTTCTTAACAATTGAATACTGAAAGAAGTTTTTCATTAAATTTTAGTATACTCAACGTTATCTTAGAATTTATTTATTTTTTACAAAGTTATGAGCTAAAGCTTATTATTGGTAATCTGAAATACTCTTGAATTATTTTTGTATAATGAATTATGCAAAAATAAAGTTGATTATTAATTAAAAAAAAAAAAAACATAAATAAATATAATTAAAAACTAATAACATAATTGTGTAAATATATGAAGCAAATACATATTATAATATATGTAATAGAAATAATTATTCCATATATTAAATTAACTAAACAAGGACAATGTCTATTATTTTACAACAAATCTTAAATTATTGAAAAAATATAATACCTATTATGTCTTACTAAAATAATAAAACAACTGTAAAACAGACTTTAAAAATAAATATACAGTTACCAATAACTATACAATACAGAATATAAGTTTACCACCTGTGAAAAAAAATGTAAGCATTATCTTTAGCTTTAAATGATATTTATTACTAAATTCTTAGTAATCAAAACACTTTTGAGTTGCAAGAGACATACATAATAATATATCAACTTTAAATCTTTATAGTAGTATACACTATCAGTTGACACAATGGCTATATTGCTTACAAGTTGAAATTTAAAGACCCTTAAATCTATAATTACTATCTTGGACATTGTATTTCTCAATTTATAAGCTAATTCCCGGGGTATAACGACATGGATTGGAAAATCCCATACTACACAAGTTTTGGTCGTTGGCAGAGGGACATCTAATGAGCTCAACTATGAACCTAAATGTTCTCTTTATCCCCTTGATAAATCGCTGTAATATAATTATTTTCCACTATAAACTGATTAAGTGCATATTATTAATACATATAAATCACATCTATTGCTTAATAATATATGATGAATAATTACCTAAACACGATAATTCATTTAACTTAGAGAAATATAATAGGAATTTAACTGGCACATATAATAGGCACATGAAATGAATAAGTTATTTTAATAAGTGTTATGATTAAAGTTTAAAAAATATATACTTAGGTAATATATTATGTTATATTTTATACATAGCTATTAAGATTATTACCAGTATCTTTAGTTAATATGTCTGTAAAAATTTTATATCCGATAAAAGAAGTTTTAATAAAACCAAAACGATATACAATATGTATATAAAATATAAATACTATACTGTTTAAGGAGATCAAAAATGATTGTAGACGATTGACTCAAACTTATATTTTATTATTTGTTTTAGCTGGCAATATTAATATGCATGCAGCGTAAGACTATTAGTTATGTAAATATAACTTTATATATAATAATAATAATTCTATTTCAGTCCGTTTTCCATTTTGAAGTGTGTAAGTACATCTCAGAACAACATTAATATATAAACATATATCTATATTTAAACATCCACTTAATTACTAAATTTTTATTAGTTTTTCAATTGAAAATAATTTTATCCACAAAATGGGCTATGAAATATTATGTTTTACTGAAAGTATAACACTGCATAACATTAATATAATATGTACGATGTGTAGCGATAAAGTAATAACGTTTATCAAATATTTTCTTAAACTCGAAATGAATAAAATACTCAATTCATTAGTTTTATTAATTTTTGACTTTGCGTGTTAAAGCAATGATGCAAAGCAGATGGAGTGGGGTATTTAATATGAAAATTAATTATTATCGTATGGAAAACAATCAAACCAGAAATGGGTGCGTAAATGTTAGTTAGTTTCCAATAGCACGTACAAAATGGAAAACTATTCTTTTTGTACTAATAAGTAGTATGGGATCTCTAGGGTTTTCTCCATAGAGTACCTTTACTCTTGTTTTCCATCAACGTATGAATAGACGTATCAGGAACACAATTCTTTTTCTGAAAATCGATTTTTCTTAAACTTCTATTTTCCTAAGGGAAAATCTAAACAATTTTAACATTATTCCCCTCATTCGCCGTTTCCAACCTTTTTATATTTATTTCTAAAGGGCAAAGTAACTAAATTACGTATATTTTTTTATACTACTGTCTTGTACGTGAAGGTCAAAGCCAATTGTTACGGTCCACCTTTTACGCCATATGTTGAAATTGACCACCAACCATTTGTACCAAAAAAGTATTTTAACTTACTAATACATTATTAGTAAATTTATAATCATGTTTATTCAAGTGTTTTTACTTGAATTAAATTACTATAATATTATTAGTTAAATTATGTTATAGAAAGTAGCATAAAATAAAAAAAATAAAAACTCATTATAATCTGTATTGTGTATGTATTCTGATGAAACCGATAATAGTAAATAAGCCCAATAGAAATTCAAAATTATCATGTAGCAGTAAAATATATTATATGTACTCTCAATTACTGAGATAGTTCCAAATATATATACAACTATGAGTACCTACTTCATTACACTTTGTAAAAGATACCAAAAAAAAAAAATGTATCAAATAATTCAAGTAATTTTGTATTTACATACTTATTCAAAATTATTGAAATAGACATATTACTAATATTAAAACATATACCGCAGTAGGTAAATTTAACTAAAATAATATATTTCTAAATTTAATTTACTGATATTTAAATATTTGATAAATTTGATTTATTATATTTAAAGTTTTACCATCACGATTAATAATTGTATAAGATTCTACAAATAATTTGTCCATAATTGATTTTTGACTAGTAAGAATAATACTGCTAGTTTAATTCTTTATGGATATTCATGAGTTAATTTCAAAAAGGATTAAAATTACTTACTGGCACACTCAAATTTACATGAATTTATATATTTTATATTTATACATATGTGCTAAAGCTTATTCGTATTCCGACCGTCGGGTATGTTACTGTGAATAACTGCTAAACAGATTTTGTTGATACGACACCACAGGGATCGTAGGTTCAGGTATATTTGCACTGTGGTTTTCCCTATGGGAATAGACCCTCCTCAAAATTACGTAACCATTTGAAGAATTAGGCACGTAGTTGCTATTTGCTTAATATTATAAATGGCCATTAAACGCTAACGATTGGGGAAATAAGAATTATATAAACAATAATTATTTTTGTAGTTGAATAAATAATAATATTATTATTTTTTTATACATATATTTATTTTATTAATGTTGAACAGTTTAATAAATAATTAACTAACATAATATAATCCTATACAAATAATATAAATATTTGATGTTTTTGTGCTTATTTTTGTGTGTAGATAATAAATCTACTGATTAAACTTGATAAATTATAAAACTATAACATACATTATTGTTATAAGGGCTTAACAATTCAATTATTTTGTACACAGTGACGTCAAAAAAAATTTTCTGAGAGGGATTTACATAAGGTTTAATTAAAATGTCATATATTTAAATTCTTCAATATATTTTATACAGTTTTTATTACTACATACATTTGAAAAATGACCTTATCAAAGTACCAAAAAAACTCGATTAAAAATTAATAGACAGAAATACTACAGAGACTTTGGATTACTCTTTTTATGTTTTAAATTCGTATTCACAAAAAGTTATTAATTTAAATTAAAAATAATTAACATCATTGCTAATAAATGTATTATAGAGCTGGCTCTAAATATAAGTATGAAATAAATACAAAAGATAAAAAAATAATTTTTGAAGTCGTAATAAAATAGAAAATGAGATGTTTCTATATTCAGAATCAAAATAAATTATAGTTGTAAAATAGTTTTCCCTCCCTCTCTCTATGAATGTATATATATATATATATATAGTAATTATAGAGTTATGTATATTTTATACAGAAAAAAAAAACTAAAAATTGTAAATGCACTTAAATTCTTTAATTTATGTAATTTAACGAGCAATTATTATTAACTTGAAAAATATTTGTAAAATTTGTATTTTTCATCAAAAATAACAAAACTTATTATTAAGACAATCAATTTTTCGTTACTAAAAAAATCTTATACACATTTCCTTGCTATTATTTTTAAAGGTATATGTATTTTTA